CATTATCGAATAATTTTAAAATACGTAAAAAAAATAGAGGTAGCCATATTACTACCTATATAACCAATAACAATTACTATTGGTTTTGGAAGATTTATACAGTAAAACTTCTCTATAGTAATAATGGGGGGACTAACTAATTTTATTATTATAAGGAAGTTATAACTTAATAGAGGTATAGTTACAAAAATTTAATATTTCATGTTTCAGTAGTATAATATTAAGATTTGAATTCATGTTTTAATAGTATTAAGGTTTTAATTCAATGCTTTAATTGCTTACTTTTGAAACGGATAGAAGATCGTGTCTTGGAACCAACAAAGATAAGTGTCATTGATGAAATTGTAAAGGCAGTTGTTGCATAGTTAATTGATGTAAAGCTACAGATAATTGCTAATTGTTTTAAGCATTACAAAATTATGATCCCTCGATGTCGATGAATTGCAAGTTACAAATGAAGTGAATGAGGAGAATCAAAGAGTCATTGTAAAATTAAATAATTAGATTCAACAACTTTAATATACTAATCGAATGGATATTAATGTCTTTCTCAATTATCCAAATGAGCAACAAGTCGTGTATGTTTTAACTGAAGAAAAAATCATTGTTACAATTAGAGAATAAAAGAAAGAAAATAATCATAAAGATGATAGTGCAGAAATATAAAAGATTTCGTGCCAAGAAACTTAAATATACTTGAGAAGTTAAAAATATTTTGGCTTCAACAAGAAGATGTCCATGCTAACGAGTAATGTACTCGCAAAGCAAAAGATATAGTAACAACTCTAGCGTATAAATTATTGTCTCAAACAATTTTAGATAAGTATTTTAGTTCATCTTAAACCTTTAATATAATATAACATATTTTTTTTTTATAATATACAAGTAATTATTACTATGTGGAAGCAACTTTTCTTAAGACGAAAATTAAAAAAATTATAACTTATTACAATATGGAGTTTAGTTTTATTAATAACTATCCCAAATAAAGAATAAATTTTTTTATGATTATGTAAAGTTTATTTCTATATAAAGTATCACTATAGAGAGATTTTACTGTATTACTTGATAATCAAATGTAATAATTGCCTTAGTAATAAAGATACCCTTAACCAAACAACCCCTTAATGATTTTCTTGAAAACTTTAAATATTTCTTGAAAAAATCCAATGCCTGTCAAAAAACTCTCTAAAATATATTAAAAAACCCCTCTAAATAAGGGGATATTCAATCATTTTCGAAAATAATTCAAACGTCAAAGACTTAGCAATCTCGGATGGATTCACCCAAAATAAGGATTAATTACAAAAATAAGGATTAATTACAAAAATCTCCCTTAAGTACAACTAAATAACAAAATCCCCCTATGATTAAATAATTTAAGCTAGCTCGGAGAATTAGAAGTGTCGGTAAAATAGTAAATGACAAACTCTTTTTCATTTGTTAAAGATTTTAAACAGTTTTTGGTCATCTCTTTGAGTTGGAACCAATTAGAAATAAATTGATGAAGTGATTATCATTTTCTTAACGAAAATGACAAAATAAGTAGGAAGGATTAAGCATTTAATTGGACATAGACAGAACTGGGGTCGGTCCATTGAAGGTGAAATCCACTTGTACTTATAATACAAACTTTAGGCGCAAGTTGCCTGCCATTTCCAATTTATCAAAATTAATAATGTCCACCATATTATATATTATGATAATTATAATAAAACCAAGATTGAATATGCATTCTCTTGTTTAGTCATGTCCTTTCCCCAATTTTGCATGGTGACTTCTTGTCGTTTCTGCCATGTCAATTCATGCGTGAGATAACAAAGTCCTATGCCTTCAAATTATCCACCCTTAATAGACCTTTCCCAAAATTACAACTCTTCCTTTCAATTTTAATTTAAAATTTTTTTTATGTTAAATTAACGGTCGAATAAACATCCATGACCACTTTTATTAACAACTAAGGTGAGTCGAACTCAGAATTTTTTGATAATATCTCAAGAATTTATTTTCAACCACTCGATCACCCAAAGATCATTAGTTTCAATTTCAATTGTTAAACCGTAAAAACTTGTAATATAATTATTCAATTTTGTTCTTCTCAATTATGCTGCTGTCATAATCACATTAATTGTTTATTTTCTAATCAAATTGATAGACGATTATGTTCAATTTGAACCTTAACATTTGCATAACCCAAAATTGATATGGACAAATTAATAATATATTTTTTTTTTTTTTTGGACCTTGTCTTTCATGCCAAACTCGAGATAAGATGCATAATTTATATTATATATGAAATCTCGTAGTATCTAATCTTAATTTTAATCTTATCTTATGAACCAAATATCACCTATATATTAGGCAAAAAAATGTAAAAAAAAAAAGAAAAGATTAAATTGGAAATTAAAAAAAAAAGGGGGAGATGGATCCTGAGATTGATGGCAAAAACTGATTCCAAACGAAAGAGAATGAGCTGTTGAACAAAAACAGGAGTCGTTATCATAAAGCTTAAATGGACCTTCCCCAATTAAGGACAAAGGATGGTGGGGGCCCAATTACGGCCCATTACCTTTTTCAGGAAAATGGCATTTGAGATTGACACACGTGACTTATTAGAAACGTGTCAAGCAATAGTTGATTTATGAAAGAGGGTTTGAAATGAAAGGTTCGGTTTATTATTATTCTTCATTATTTAATTTAATAGATTTTCCCCACCAAGAAGGCATCATGGATCCCCGGTCCACTTCTCAATTGATTTTTAGACACAGGATAATATTATTCTATTTAATTGTATCATTCTTTTCGAATCTTAAATAATGTGATGATTATCAGTGCTACTTGTAATATTTTTTACATCTTATTATGTGAGTTCATAATTTATAATTATTCTTTTTTAGAATTTAAGATTGGCAATGTGTTATATACTCTAAACTATAGGGATGGCTACATAGTTCTACTTCTCATAACATTATTGATATTATAAATTATTTCAAATATTATAATATTTAATTCAATTACTTAATAAATTTCGGAAAGAGAAAAATTGTTATCTTTATTCTAAACCTAATTAGGAAAATATTGTCCGTTTAGTGTTTTACACACACGAGTTTTTCATCCTTACAAATATTAATTTTAGATTTCATGCAAGTAAATCTTCACCCTGAGTCATCTATCTAATTTATGGATTCAAGTCTTAACTAACTCAATAATTACCAATATGTGACGTGTTATGTTATTTATGAGTCTAACTAATAAAACACCTCTTACGACTTAAGGGTTGTTTTTTTTTTCCTCTTTAAGTCTAATGCAATCAATTTTAATAAATTAAGATGTTTTATGTTTGTTTGTTTTTTAGCTTTTATCTGATAATCAAATATATGTTAAAAGCCAAAATATTTTATTGTTATTTTAATACAATAATGTCTTAATAAGTAATAATTTTCATTTGTCAACAATATCTTTACCGAATTCATATAATTTCAATTTTAATAAAACCTTTGTACATTATATTTTTTTGGTTTTCTTTTAGGTTTATTTTTCTATTTTTTGTTAAAATAATATTTTAACATTATATCAAAACAATATAATAACATATATAATTTTAATTTATAGCATTTGTTTTTTTTATTTCCATAATTTAAAATGTTTAAAACAGGTAAAATCATATAATACTTAATAGGGATATATGTATCAAATATCAATACACTAGTTTTAATTTATTTACTGGATATAAAAACAAACAGTTTAGCACATATAATCAGACAATGAAAATAAAAAACAAACATATCCATCAGATTTATATATTTAGATAAATTTAGTTAACTTTAAGATAAAAAAACAAACACCACCTTAGTATAAATATATCATATATTCAAGAAGATATTTATCTTATAAAATTTGAAATATCATAAAGTAGTTTAAAGATTAAGAATAATACAAGATTTGAATCATAAAATCAATTGTATTCAAGAAGCATCTTGTGATTCAACAGCCCCTACATCATAGTCTTAACATTCAAACTAGAAAGCCAATCAAAGTAATTAAACCTAAAGTTAAAATTGATGATATACACTTCCACGGGAAAAAAATAAAAAATATTCAACTGACTCTTTCATGAAAATGTTGAAATGTGAAAATGATAACAAACTTATCATAATTATATGTCTATTTTAACGGGTTTGTAATTTAAATTTATTCAATATGTTTTTTATTATTATTATTTTTTTTGATCTTTTAATAAAATTGACCACATAATTAATAGATTAGTTTAGTTGCGGGTCAATTTTAAAATTCTGTAAATTAGCACCGACTTGGGTTTAATTATCAACATCGAACGTATCAAAACCCAATTTGGATTCGGAGACAAATTCAATTTTTGTTTATAGGTTTATTTTTAAACTTTAAAGAATATTTAATAGTTTTTAAAATTCTTGGGACACTTAAGAGACTTAATAGTTGATAAGCTTTCATGAGCTAAATAAATTAATCCCGCCTAATTGATGGGCATACATATATTTTATATCATGTAAATCAAAGCCAATATAGATTGGTGGCATCGACCGCAATATTTAGACAATTAGATAGATAACAAATATGATAATCAGGAGAAAAAATGAACTCAACATACTTAGATCTGGATTCTTGGTTGTGAAAACTGTGTTAAAAGGGTGTTGGAACAAAATATCGACGGTTTGGTGAATAATAAGGTGAAAGAAAGCATTACACAGAAGAAATTGAGAGAGGAAAATGCATGTTTGGATTATGGGAAAAATAAAATTTGAAGGAAAAAAAAGGACTGATTCAAAAATGAGTGCTACTAATGAAGAACAGAAAGAAGAAAATCAATGGACATGAACATGAACATGCTCATGATTTAATTTGAGTTCTTAAATTTCTAATCCATATTATATTTCACTTAATTTTACTTTAGATAATATATAATTAAAATTTCTTATTGGTTCATAAAACCACTGAACATCAACACAAATGCAACCCTTATCTTCAAGAAAATCCAGAAAGAAAACTGAAAATCAAAGAAAGTACACAAGATCACCAATTCTTAAGATATAAAAGAAAGACTCTTCACCACAGTAAGCATCATAAAAAAGAAAAAAACGCATTTGTCCAAGATTATGTTAACAAAATATAAACAAATACTTAACCCATATTGGCCTGCAAAACTTATAATCCACGACAAACTTTAATGTTAACTACATCATAATCTGTGTATTAACTAACAGACGGTTCTCAACTGCTGTATTTATGAGATCTTAGCCCTTGAGAAGTCCATCTCCGGATGCTGCACCAAATCAAAATTAACAACACAAATTTAGAAGATTTCACAAGACATAGAAAGTTCGATAGAAGTCGATGTTTAATCGTGTAAAATATTCACCTCAGCCATGAACTTCTTTAGAACCTCTTGTTTCTGCATCTCATCGCTGGTTGGGAGACCCATGGACTTCTGCCTTTGATCAAACTGCAGAAAAACATAAGTGAAACAAATGTAAGCAAGCAGCACTACTCTAAATGCCAAGTTAATACAATAGAAAGGGAAATAAATCATTAAGGGATATGCAAATAGATGTTCTTAATCACAAACCAAGGATATATTTCTGCTTTCAGAGCACTAATTCTTAATTATCAGGAGTTCCCAAATGTGCAGATGTTGTCATTTAGATGACGTAATCAGAAGACTTGAACAATAATTTGAAACTCATGTTCTTAGATGATAATACAACATCATGAATAAGGTAGAAAACAGAAACTGAAAATAGATCAACGAATTACCATCATCTTTTCGACTGTCTTCCTAGTTTCTGGATCCAGGTCAGATAATTTACTGTTCTCAGGTTCAACTTTCTGAGTGTCAATTTCAGGACCTCCTTTCAGCAATGATTTCCACCATTCCATCTGATTCTGCTTGGTCAAAAGAATAGAGATGGAGTTCTGATCCTCTGCAAACAAGTTATATAGTTTATACGTGATGAGCTACTCATAAATACAAGTTTAGCAAATAGCATTTTACAATTCAAACTAGGAAGGGCCTCCAGAAAAAAGCAACAGGTAAGAAAAAAAAAATAATGCAAACAAAATGCTGTGAAAAGAATGTGCAAGAATCAAGGAAAACATTAAGCTTTATAGATTCATCAGTTCTTGCAAATTGCCAAAACATTTTCCAAGTATGTTACTACTGTTTAAAATCACAAATTTCTATTCACTGTGCATACAGAATGGTAACATACCTATGCTCCAATAACAATCATCAGGCTTGATACTCTGACTAAGTTCCCCCTGCAAACATTTGTTGTAGATAATTAGAAGTGAAGAAAAATCCAGCAAACTGGCAGAGACGGATAGAAGATAGTGATATAAGTCTCATTACCAAACAGTTGAAATAACTTACATCAATGATTGGAGGCTGACCCTTGAGTCCAACTTTTAGATGGTTCTTCTTTATCTCACACACAACAGACCTTGATTTAGTCCCATTAGGGACTGGAATAATAATAGTTAACTCTTGCAGGGTCTGTGTCCAGGAGTAGTTATCCAGATCAAGGCCATTACCTTTATTTGGAACTGCATGATATTAACAAGCAGAAGAAGTGAGTATAACAATAAGCTTGATAAATCATAATAACATCACAGATTTATAAAATAAATGAAACATGATAAAACATGACATCCATCAATTTTGAAAAGAGTAAGCTTGTAAATCACAATAACATCGCAGATTTATAAAATAAATGAAACATGATAAAACATGACATCCATCAATTTTGAAAAGAGTAAGCTTGTATATCACAATAACATCACAGATTTATAAAATAAATGTAACATGATAAAAGAGGCAGGCCATCCATCAATTTTGAACGAGGCATGCATCCCACTGTCATTCACTGAGATTAACTCAACAAACCAAGACAATGATCAACAGGGCAAGCAAAAAATTACTAATGTCCAATATTTCCGCATGCAAGACAAGTGAGTGACTTCAAGGTGGTCAACGAATAACTATATATTTCACCTTTGGTCTGATAAGGTATAAGACAGAGATATGCAGTCTGGTTCCAAGGAAAATAATTACAGTTGCCAACCATGCAATAACAGTATCACATACAAGAAACTCCAAATTCTAAAAATAACAATGAATATTAACCTTTTCCCACTATCAATTAAACATAAATACTTGCACCTCAAACATAACTCCCGACTAAACCCATCAAAACTTCCTTAAACCATCTAAAAGTTTAAATATATTTTCTCTTTATATATATTTTTTTAATTTTAAGCTTCTAGAAAGAGGTTTGTGTTTGAATGTGTTCATATACATTGTCCATAAAGCCACTAGTAAACGAGCTAAATGGCTAAATTTTTTACTATTCATAGTTGTTTCAACATCTCCTTATTCGCATTCTCCGAAAGAATCAATCTTTACACTATTCATCGGATAAACCCTCAAGAAATAGCAAGAAAATCATAAAAGCAAGTTCCATCAATCCAAACAAATAAAAAAGTTATAACCAAACGAACCAAAGCTTTAAAGAGAGAAAAAAAAAAAAAAATCCAATTATATCAACATTAATAAAACCAAAAATAAAATCAGTCAACAAATTTATGTTCTCAGCAACCAGAAAAATTATGCCATAAACTACAAAATAAATAGATAAATCCAAACCTATAGCTGGATTTCCATCGGAATCGCGCTGCGGCTCCTGTGGCGGAGCTTTCTTAACGTCGATCGTCGGCAAGTTCTCCAAATCCTGATCTTCATCCTTCCCCTTCTTAACTTTCTTAGGTGTGTCATCCTCCACCGGCTTCTTTCTCTTCTCCTTGGCCGCTTGCACCACCGCCGTGATTTGCTTCTCCGCCGTGTCCTTGGTCAGAAAGTCGCTCTCATTCGCCACGAATTCAAACACCTTCTCCAGAAACCCTAACGGATTCGAAGCATCAAATGTCGCACTAAACGGCGTCGTCTTCGAGGAGGACGATGTGGACGCAGAAGCCAAGGGCTTCTTCTTGACCTCCGGCTTCTTCTCTTCTTCCGTATAATCGGAGATAATCGCCATGACTAAGTTAGTAAGTTTCGAATCGTCCGAGTTAACTCGGCGAGTGAGAAAGTGAGAGATTGTAAGAGAGAAATCGAGAGAAGAGGGAGTTTAAATGAAGTGAGTTGAAGAGTGTCAAAGATACCGAGATTAGGAGAAGAGAAGAGTTTAAATACGAGGAGAAAGAGAGTACAAGAGGAAAATAGAGAGTTCGAGAACAAATAGAAGGGCAGTTTTGGATAATTTTCATATTGGTCCCTATTAAGTTTTAATTGGACAATCCTTAACCTAAGAAATCGGTATTTTTGTTGAAATTGTCTCCCATTTCATTCCAATATTTCATCTCGTCTAGGTTGTGGAAGCCAACTAGGAGGAGTGTTTTAATTGGCATGAGAAAAGAGAAAAATTAAACAATAAAAGATTTTAAAATTTGTTTATTTGAAAGGGGAAACAGAGGGATAATTTCTATTTCTCATAGATTTTTGGCTTTTCTCGTAAGAATCATACTTTTCTTTGTCATTACGGTTCACTTTCTATTGTTATTAGTGGAAGAACTCTTCCTGCTGAAGCAGCTGCTGCCTGTTTTAATCAAAATTATTTGAAGAATTTAATCGGATCTTACCTTCTATTTCTCAATTAATAAACATGATTCAGCATTATATTTACTCTAACTTCTTTAGAGGCTCAAGTCCTGAATAGTTTTGATTAATTAATTATTTCAAATTACTGAAAAATATATATAATAAACTATATTATACCTATTAATAATACTGTTGTTATTGAATATTTTATGAGCACATTCTTCTTCTAGTCTTGAAAATATTCTTCTTATTAAAACTGTATCATATATAATAAAACCTTAAACCTTAAATATAACGCAATCTATGGATATAAATATAACTTCAACCCATCAAATGAAATTTAAAATAATAAATTAAAGGATCATTACCCATTTGCAATAAATAATTTCTCTATTGCCGTAACATCGTAAACCAATGGAACTCAATTGGAGGAGTTTTTTTATTTTATTTTATTTTATGGAACGGAGTATCAACTGAAGGTGGAGCTAATTGAAGAGAAAATTTGATTTGAAAATTGATGAGTAGTGCATTCCCCGAATTTGTGTTATGGATAATAATAGAAATGTTATTTAAAATCTATCTATTCATTTTCGATCAAAATACTTTGGACTGTGTGATTATTTAGAAGAGAAATAAGAGATGCCCCATCTCCGAGTGAGTGGTGAATGGTTTTAACACTCCATGAAATGAGTTACAATAAAGAAAAAATAGATTCTTCAGATGGGATAATATATATTATATACAGTATCTATATTGTTATCTAATTAAAAAAAAAAAAAAAACAAGGAGAAGAAGGACAAAGAAACTAATAAACAACTCTTCGAATTAAGAACAAACAATAATTGTGTTTGCTTTAGATTAGACTGATATAAGATCTAAAAATTAATTCTCCTCATAAAGAAGAATCAGTAAGTAATTTGATCCTATAAATTATTATTTACTTATGAAATTACGAATTTTGATTGATCTAATTTTATTTTAATTTTTTTATAAGTTTAAATATAGAGCTCCGAAATAAACTCATAGAGGAAGAAGATTTTTTTTTTTTTTTTTTTTTATGACAATTATATCCCCATTTAAAGTAGAAATGAGGGCTAAAGATAAAAATAATTTCCCACACTAAGTCCAGCTTTAACTTTTTGAAAGCCCAGTGGGCAAAAGAGGCGTAAGTGCCTCTAAATTATATCAATGATATGGTCATATACCAAACACATCACTCCGTTGGAACTGGGAAAGGGTGAATTATCTATAATTGAAAAGTAAGGGGCAAGAAAGAAAAATGCTATCCTTACTTACTTTTTTTACTCACTTCTCTTACTCACTTTTGTTAAAATGACATATGGTACCTGTACCTATAATTGAAAAGTAAGGGGCAAGAAAGAAAAATGCTATCCTTACTCACTTTTTTTACTCACTTCTCTTACTCACTTTTGTTAAAATGACATATGGTACCTGCATTATTCGGCAAGAAAACCATGTAGAATGAGAACCCTATGTATTCCCATATAAAGCAGCAGGGAACTCTGATCTCCTTTTGAAGCATTATTATATGCAATCTTGTACTCTTTTGTGATTAAAGTGAATTAAAATTCGAGGCTTCATTTTGAGCATTCAAAATTTCGCTCAAAAAAATATCTAATTTAAATTTTTTAGAATAGAAAGAGCATATAATTAATGGGTATTCCAAGGGCAAGGAACGGGTGGAAATTCCATCCTTGCCCCTATTTCAAACAAATATTATCACTATATTCTTTTTTAATTTAATATAATATTAGTCATTTTGCAAATAAATTATTATTAAATTAAAAAATAAAGTAATAAATAAATTAAATTTTATTTAAGAATTAGAAAATTAAAATTTATGTAAAAATATAAATTATTTTATTTTATTGCATTTAAAAAATTTCAAAATTTTAATACCACTAGTGTGTGAAGGATCTATGACTAGTGATTTATCGATCTGGATGGAAACATGACGCCTACGACCGGTGTGTGGATGTCATTCATGACGGTCGTATTTCCTGTCATTGTGATTGACATCCATATGCCGATATTCAATGACGCTAGAAATGTGAAGAACTGATCGGTTTTGAAATTTTTTTATTTAAATAAAAAAATTATTTATATTTATGAAATAAAGTAAGTCGATATTATATCAGTTTTAATTATAATAATTAATTCCATTTTAATTATTTTATGAAATATATAAAATTATGGAGTGATTTATGTTGAATTAATCGATTATAAATTTTAAATTGTTTTAAAATATACATAGATGATAATTTAATCTTGAGGGTAGTTTTGTTCAAAAAGTATAACTTTCACTCCATTCCATCACTATTCATTGTTACAAGTAAACAAAGTATGTTGTGAAGTCTCACATTCCCATGTGAGAAGGGGTGCGTGTATATATGGGGCTATAGGCCTTAACCCAACATGTTGCGTTTTTGGCCTAAAGCTCATAAACAAAATCGTGAGGCCTTGTAGTGCCAAAACGGACAATATCATGTTGGGCCATTTATAACACATTATCAGCACGAAGAGTTTAACAAGTGTACCATTGCACCTCTATTGAAAATAAGTACTTTGATCTTATATGTGTTCTTTAATCTTTGTTTCTGCCTTTATGGCTGGATTTACTCGTTATTATTAAATTCCGTCTCTATAATCAGATTTATTCATTATTATTAAATTCCGTCTCTATGGTCGAATCTATTTATTATTGTTAAATTCCTCCTCTATGGTCGGATCTATTTATTATTTAGTTATATTTCGTTTCTATGGTCAGATCTATTTATTATTTAGTTAAATTTCACTTCTATGGTCGAATCTATTCATTATTGTTAAATTCCGCCTCTATGATTGGATCTATTTATTGTTAAATTTTGCCTCTATGGCTGAATCTATTTATTATTGTTGAATATCGCCTTCATGGTCAGACTTGTTTATTCTTTTTTAATACAACCTTTATAGCTGGATTTGCTTTTATTATGTTTTCGATAACTAATGTTAATAGTTGTGTTTCCATCTTATATATGATAAATGAACTTGAAGTTTCATAAATAAATATTGTTTTAGAACTTGAAGTTCTAAATACTAATTACAAACATGAAGTTTATATAACGGAGACAAAAATGGACTTGAAGTTCCATATCATGAGGAAGAAGTTCTAAATTTTAATTTTGATCTTAAAATTTGAAGTTTCAAGATTCTGATATTGGAACCCGAAATTCTGAAGATGGACTTTAGAATTGAAACCAGTAATGGTGGAGACATTTGTATAGTAGACAATGCAATGACGCACATTGTCCTTCGAGATAGAAAATATTTCTCAGTTTTGACCTATACCGAGGCTTAAATAAATACCATATTTGGATCTACAAACATAATTGAGGGCTCCAGAAGAGCAACACTCTTGTTACCAAGCGGAACTAAATTAAGTATCCATGATACTTTATATTCTAGCAAATCTAGAAGAAATTTGTTTAGTTTCAAAGATATACGACTTAATGGATACCATAGTGAAACTTTAAGTGAAAATAATGGCGAGTTTCTATGCATCACTACTAATATTTCATGCCAGAAGCATGTACTGGAGAAACTCTCTGCTTTCTCATCAGGGTTATCTTACACATTCCTAAAAAATGTTGAAGTTTATGTAGTTATGAACTAGAAGTTCACTGATCCTGAACTTCTTAAGATTTGGCATGACCGCCTTAGTCATCCAGGATCTACTATGATGCATAGGATCATAGAAAACTCACATGGGTACCCATTAAAGAACCTAAAGATTCTGTCACCTAATGAGAGTGCTTGTATTGCTTGCTCACAAGACAAATTGGCACTTAAGCCATCCATCACTAAAGTTGGTCTAGAACCTCCATCATTTTTACAAAGAATCCATGGGGACATATGTGGACATATTCATCCACCAAGTGGACCTTTTTGCTACTTTATGATACTGATTGACACATCGACATGATGGTCACATATTTGTCTACTATCTATCGGTAATGTTGCCTTTGCTAGATTGCTAGCACAAATTATCAAATTACAAGCACACTTTCCAGATTACCCAATTAAAGCAATTCGTTTGGACAATACTGGTGACTTTACCTCAAAGACATTTGATGATTATTGTACAATAATGAGAATTGATGTTGAGCACTAGTACCACATGTACATACCCAGAATGGTATGTTGGAGTCATTTATAAAGCTTATCCAATTAATTGCAAGAACTTTGCTATTACGTATGCAATTACTGACTTTTGCTTGGGCTCATGTTGTTTTACATGCTGCGACATTAATTCGCCTAAGACCCACTGCATGTCATCAATAATCTCCCATATAGCTTGTATTTGGACATCAGCCTAATATATACCATTTAAGAACTTTTGGTTATGCTGTGCAAGTTCCAATTGCACCCCCTCAACGCACCAAAATGATACCCCAACGTTGTTTGGGAATATATGTTGGCTATGATTCACCATCTATCATCATATATCTTGAGCCCCTGACAGGCGATCTGTTTACTGCACGTTTTGCGGATTGCCATTTTGATGAGACAATATTCTTTAGGGAAAAAGATAAAGCCTCCTGAAGTAAGGCCTGAACTATTTTGGAAAATGA